CATAGCCAAAGGTCTTAGAGAAATCCTGGGCAGTTTGGCCGCGAGCCCCAGCATAGATCAGGGCCAGCGAGGTGGAGATGGCCAGCGGGGAGTAGACAGTGTTGTCATCTTGCCCACCATAGTAGGGATGGAGCTGGAAGGCCAGGCGGTTGGTGAGTCGAGCGAGCTGGGTCCAGTCACCACCGTGGTGGGTGCTGGCAGCCACGAGGGTCACCGCGGTTGTCAGTAGAATGGCTAACTTCATCCTGAAACAATAAAAGATATTTGAAGGTGAATATAATTGGACTGATTTTAAACATGATTTTTTTCTTTAGGATACAATGGATTAATGCCCATCATTTAAGAAAAACATTCAAGATTAATTTTCAATAGAAATTGATTAATTGAATATCGATATTTAAGAGTATATTGGAATATAGTTATCAAAAATAAAATATCTAAAAAGGTATTACAATATTTTTCCAGGTTGGTGCATATATTTAAAGATGTAACATGTAATTCTCTAAATGACTCACAACTCATCTAGAATCTCAATACGAAGTTAGATTTTTCAACCTAATCATGAAAATATTTCTGGTACAATAACGATAACCACATATTCATGTTTAGGTGATATTTATTTTTATGGATTGGCATTATATATTCAGAATATTTCAGTGTAATGTTCAGGCATTTTTTTTACACCTTTAAACCACCTTGATCTGATTTATTTACCTATAGCTGAATAAAACAGGATATTTATAGAATAAATGTTATTGACCAACCGAAAATACCATTTTTACCTCCAAAAACCAGATTCCCAGGTTTTCATCATTAATGAAGTATTGCCACATATTCAAGTGCATATTTTCACTAATATAAAAATATAAAGTAACCTATATATAAATGACATTTATTTATAAATTTTAAAAGACATATATTTATGTATATATTGCATACTGTTGTATGGCGAATCCATACAGGGCAATGGGCCCTAATAAAAGCCTCTTTGTTGTTCGTTTTGTTGTATATATTGCATATATAAATTTTTCTTGGGCAAATATGTTTACTCAAGTTACAAAAATATTTACGATGTACACATCAAATGTTGGATTCAGTTTTTCAACATGAAGGATGTAAGTATATATTTTAATATTCGGAAATATAATGAATACTAGGAAGAATCTGATAAATCAAACATTTTTTATCATTGTGATAGATTTCACTTTATTGAGTTTCCTTAAATCAATAAAATATTTCCAGTGAAGTGATTCAAAAAATAATTTTGTAATATTGCAATATAAAAAGATTTTCTTATAAAGAGTTTCAATTTTGTGAATTTAAGCTGCTTTTTAAAGCATCCTAATAAAGTGTAACATAAATCTTTAAATGTGAAGAGAATTTATTGCTTATAGCTACATAAGTCCTAGAGTAAATGCCATATATGCATAAATCGAAAGAACAAGTAAATAATTCATAAATACACTTCTAATAGACAGTAGAAGAGAGGACTCACCTGAGATCCAACTGGGAGATGTCAGAAGATCGGCATAGTTAATATACCAGCTCCCAGGTGACGGAAGGTGAGATAACAGGCCATCCTTGCACCGCGATATTGGTGATAACTATTTTTTCCACCGATACAATCTGATCAAAGAAATATATATCTGAAGGTCGTTTTTATCCAGTCAAATATCAGTGTGTGGCAATTATTATAAAAACATGGACTCAAGGTAAAATATGGAAACTTGCTTCATCCCACTACTACATGAATTCCCGAAAGGCATAATCCTGTTGCTTTATATAGTTTACAACACACACAAGTACCGTGTCATAAAAGTAAAAGCATTACAGAATTATTGAAAACTATAAATTTCGAAGTTTGACTATGGACTGGTAACGTTTTAGACTTTGACCAAATTCAAAATATTCGGAAGTTACCGAAAAGTGGAATTTCTAGAGAGATGGAGCTAAATGAAGGTCAATTGATCGAAGCTATAGAAGAATCACTCATAATACATAGAAGAAAATCCGATATTATAAAACTCATGCCAAGCAATTAAATGTTAAGAAAATCTAGCAAAAGGCTGTAAAAATTACTATCAAAATATATTTTTATATTTATATATTATAGTTAAAAGTGTTCTAATCAAGTTTTATTCTTTTAATATCATCGAATAAAATAAATAATTTCTTCTAACCTCTTTGTTTTATTATTTTTAAATTAATAAGATATAAACCATAGCATATAAGCAAGTATCCCCAATCATTTGGCTTTCTCCTTTTTTCAACGAAATTATCTATCTATATATATATATTTATTTGAATGTGAAGAATTAAAAAAAACATTCCTTTATTTTTTATTTATTTGAACATACTTTGAAAAAATTACCTATAAAGAGGAAGAAAATCTTCAAATAATATCTTTTAATATGCCTTACATTTTCAAAAGTTAAGATGAAGGAAATCAGGATGTTAAATTCCCTTTGCGGACTTATGGCTGATACGTGAGAACCTTAAGCAAGACTAGGCTTAAATTGGCAACCTGCCAAGTTTTATATACAATATGCTTAAAACTTGAATTAAGACACAAAACATAATATTTAGTGAACAAATTTATTCAAAGTATAAAAAAGAAGACTATTCTATATATATAATTGAAAAAAATGTAAAAAATTAAAAATATTTATAAACAACCTTGGTATAGTATGCCTCAAAACAATCTCCAATGCACAAACCAGGTTTTTTTTGTGCAGGTTTTGCAAAAAAAAAAAACAGTTTCTTTTCTTCCTCTTTTAACCTTTCTTTTGGAGCATACACTACAGTCTTTGGGTTTCCCTTCTGGATGTCGGACCATTACATGTAATTTATTGGTCAAGCTTTCTTCTGTATGGAGACTTGATTGGTGAACTCTTTTCCCTGACTCTTGTGGCACTCGGACATTTTTTTTATAAATTCCATATATAATTATTTCTTTCCTAAATTCTAAGTGATTTTTATATTTGATGTTATGTTTAATGTTATTTTTTCTTTATAATATATAATGGATACTATAATGAATTTATAATGGATACTTCAAGACCTCAAAAAATAATTTTCTCCACCACTTCAAAGATTTTCTTAGAAAAGAATAGGTGGAAGCTAATTGGTCAGCAATATCAACGCCTCCCATATTTTGAGTTTAATCAGAAACAACTAGAGTTTTTTTTTTATTTTCTCAAGTCCTTGTTTAGTATGTCTTTCAATTGTTTCTACACTGGAGTCATGCCATGAAGAACACATAGTTACGATTCTCTTGTCTTTCCAAGAGAGCAGCAAAATATTATTTTTTTTCTATAGGCGAGTGTTTCTCCTTTAGATATTTTAGGCTTTTTGATTTCCTTTTCTTCCAGGATTTATTGTGCCTGTTAGGTGGCATTTGAACAAAGATAATTCTTGGGCTAATGGAGCATTGGTATAAAATCTGTCAGTGTATATGTGCATGCCTTTTAGGTCTGGATATTTGATTCTGATGTTTTCGAATAAAGAAATAACTATTCTAGAGGTAAATGGTAGATCAGGTCGTATTAGAGAAACTGTAGTGAGTTTGCCATAATAAGAAATAAATGAATAAATATAACCTAATTTTGATTCGGCAGCAACATATACCCTCAATCCCTATTTTCTTGGCTTTTGAGGGTTATAGGTTTTGAATGATATTTTCCCTTTGTATCCTACAGTTGATTCATCTATTGCTATATTTTTTGATGGTTTTGAAATAAAAGAAATTTATTGCTCAAATAGGAAAGATAATTTTGTGCTTTTTGGGTCCGTGTATGAATAGGGGCGTCAGCAGGAGTAGGTTCTGAAAGGTGAAGCATCCAAAATATTTGTAAAAATCTTTGACGGGTGAAAATTTTGGGAAACATTCTTGAGTAGTTAAAAAATCAGTAGCCCAATAATCTTTCAGATTTGGCAAAATTACTATACCCATATTTATATTTAGTCCAATAAAGGCCTTCATTTCATCTAGTGTTACATTTTTCCATTTGAGCCAAGTTGAATGTATACTCAAATTTTTTCAGATTTTTTTTCCTGCATATATATTAGTTTGTAGAACTATTTGATTTGATAATTCTGCTGTAAAAATAAGTAAAAAAAGTCAGATTGAGGTGATATATTTTGGGTGAGGCAAGATTGCGCGGTAATATTATGGCGAACTGGAGCTATATCGTTATTAGAAACATTCAGCCATGTTTCTTCATTCACACTTTTATAGTTTCACTTTCATAATTATAAATAATTGTATCATCCGAATCATAAAAAGTATCATACTCACTATCAACTTCATAATCTTCTTCATCAATAATAGTGGATTCACTAAAGGACGCCATTTTTCAAAAGTAAATAAAAATATATTTAAAAATTGAGCAGATGCCAAATTAGTTAAAATTTTTATTCATAGATGGCGCGAGATGTCCATAAAGCGTTTGTCTAGCGTAAGTCGACACTGGAGTTAATATAGGGGGGCTCAGTTTCCATGTCGACCCTAGCTCGACACAAGACCTGCTGGATCATTTTACCTTGTCGACCAGAGGTCGACACAGGTCCGCAAAGGGTTAATCACCATCTGGAAGTGTCCTTTTTGATATAATATTGAAATATTTTCAATAAAAATAAAAAATATACGTCTCCCATATTCATATATAATGTAAAGGTTCAGAAAGAGAGAATGAATGTAATCAAGAACGCTCCATTTTCGAATAAAAAATACATTTAATTCATTTATTGAATGCATCAAAACCTTTTGACCTTTTTGCTGAGCTAAACACTAAAATATTTAGAAAATCAAAAGGCGATAATACTTGCTTTGGCAATTCGAACAAAAGACAACATCTATGCCAAGTTTCATGGGTATGACCCTAATCATAAGTTATGAAATTGGCCAAATCTGATAAAGTTATATTTCTTTGGGGTAAGGCTGTAAGGTTACTCTTACGATCCCTTTATTGATGAGTGCTTCACCACCAAACCTTATTTTACATCCAGGATTTTGTTCAATTTTTCCAAAACCGAAATTTATAGATCATTCATTGATTTAAATCTGATACTTCTGCTCAAGGAATTTCAAAATATACATTGTTTTATAAACAAAAGAAAATTCGCTGAGGAAAGAGTTTATTTTATATATATCGCTACTGTAGCGTAGTTATACCTGTCGAAGGGCTGTTGAGTCCAAAAGTTTGTATTGCCATTATATATATAAAAGAAACTCTTCCCTCAGCAAATTTTATTTTATTTATAACTAGACGCCGACCCGGGCTTCGCCCCGGGATTGACCCGTGTGCATATCTACCCGAGTGATATATATTTAGATACGATTTTTTTTTTAAATAATCGTTTTTACTCGAGGGAATGTTTGTAGTCTAGTATGTTGATATAATAAATCTATCTGAATATTAGGAAAGGTAAGGTAATTTTTTTGTAGGGTGATGCTCTGAAAAAGAACGCTATACCACTTTATCACTAAACAAATTGGCGAGTCAAAAATAAGTAACCTAAACAATCCATTAGCTTTGCAAGATAAGAAAAGAAATAGAGAAATGCATGCAAAATTCTCAACACAAATCAAAAGCTTTAATCCTCATTAGTAATGTATATTAGGTAGGATGAGGTTTATTTTGTTTCTATTACATTACATGGAATAGATTTTTGTTTTTCTAATAAAATTTACTGACCTCTTTGTTCACTGAAACCTAAACAAAGTGTATGTTAGACCACTCTTTGTTCAACCTTACACATTGTTTAGGTCTCTTATTAGGTGCAAGATGTATACTAATGCTAAAATGGTAATTTGGGTAAACATAGGTAAATTCATGTTGGGCCAGTATTGTTCAGCAAGCCAACACAGATATAACATTACGGTATGAAGCAAGTTGTGCTAAAACTAATATTTCCAATCAAAATATCAAAAAAATAACACATACTATGTAATATAAATACATGTATGTAAAATAAACACAATAATAACCAATAATTAAAAACCATAAATTTTTCTAACACAGTATACTTCTTAAGTAAGAATACCTTACCATGAAGGTTTAAAACCCTACATATTGAAACATGTGAAAAATGTAGCATGTGTGTATGATGGGCTTGAAAAGAAAATATTAAAAAAAGATATTTATTGACACTTTTGTAATACCACACCAAATATGCATATTTACAGTTACAACAGTTGCAGATCTTATTAGCGCTTTAAAAGGGACAATCATATATGAGCAAAGCATCTATGTACATTAGAGGACATTAGAAACATAGTGAAAAAAATATAAAAGGTAATGAATACATTTTTTGCTAATTGAGGAAAGAAATACCTTAAGAAAGAGCTTCTTGATAAACACACAATATTTTTTGTGCTGCCATTAGGTGCGAGAATAAAAAGATTATTGGAGCAACTAACGCGTGAGCAGGCAACATAAAGCTGGCCATGGGAAAAACATGGAACCTGAAGATCAATTCCAGCCCATTTCAATGTTTGACCTTGTGCTTTGTTAATTGTCATTGCAAAGCACAACTTAACAGGAAATTGAAGTCTTTTAAAATGAAAGGGCAAATCTGAAGATATAATGGGAATCCTAGGAATCATAACCTTCTCACCAGTGCCGCATCCAGTCAAAATAGTCGCCTCCAGCAGATATCTGTGTAAGATGTTAACTTGCAACCGAATACCATTACACAATTTTGGGGGATTAAGATTTCTTAACAATATAATTGGGGCGCCAACCTTTAGGGTAAGACTGTGCACAGGCATTCCAGGCGGATTGATTTTAAAAATTCAATGGGGTAATGCACAGAATCATTCGGATCTACAACAGTGTCTATTGACAAATAAGTTCTTGAAGAAGCGATAAATTTACCGAGGATATATTCATTTATATTGTCCACGGCATCATTTCTTGGTGCTAATAAAGCCCTTTCACTGAACCAAGAAAGTGGCATGGTAAGTAAAGAGCCTATATTGGGGTAAACAGATGATATTAAGGTATGGATATCTTCAACCAAGACACAAAGATCACTTGATGCAATGGAGATGAGTCCCTCGTGAGTTGAAAATGTCCCATTGCCCAGTTGAAGCAACAGCTGAGAGAAGCTGCTTCCTCTGTCGCCAAAGAGATGTGACCGCATATTGATAGTGAGAGATAACTTAACAATACTACTCCAAATATGAGAGCGTTTAAGGCATGCATTAACCTCATCTGCTCGAGTGCCTTTGGGAATAACCGGTAAAGTTTGTCGGAAGTCCCCAACAAAAAGAAATGTCACCCCTCCCATTATGCTGTTGTTATCCCTAAGATCTTTCAGAGTGCGATCAAGGGCCTCGATTGAGCGTCTATGAGCCATTGTGCATTCATCCCATATAAATAATGAGCTTTGCTGTAGAATTTTGGAAGTGGCGCTCTGTTTAGCAATGTTACAGACTGCTAATTCATCATCATAGAGATTCAAAGGTAGCTTAAATAGAGAATGTGCTGTTCTGCCGCCATCAAGGAGTGTAGCAGCGATTCCAGAAGAAGCAGCAGCACAAACTACTAAACCCTCTAAGCGCAATTTGGCTAACAAAAGATTAATAATAAAAGTTTTTCCAGTGCCACCAGGAGCATCCAAAAAAAAAAATCGTGCCAGCCCTAGAGCGAACACTATTAAGAATGGCCTCATAACAATATTTCTGATCAGGATTTAAAGAAAATTCGCGGGTTGAAGCCAAAGTTTCTAGCTCACGCCTATCATATATGTCTGATAAAAATGATGCCTCTCTGGGTGGTGATACATTTTCAGGAAGCGGCAAACCCATACATGCAATACTTTTACCTGAAATTGACAGAACATTTTTATCAATTTCCAGTAACGCGGCATTGAAAACATCAGCATTGTAATCAAGTTCAGGGATGGACATATCTCGTCGCATTCGGTGCAAAATATCTTCAGACATACACTCCTTATGAGCATGCCACAGCGTAAGTGTATCAGACATGTGGCAGAAGATGAGCATTGTAGAGAACAATGCTCTCACCGATGCTGCATTACGACATATAGATGCCTCTTTGAGAGTTTCATTCCAGTGAGAGTCGTCTTCTAGTAAGCCTAAAGCTTTGCAGGCCATTTGGAAGGTAGTGTGGATAACTCCTTCAACTGTGCGCAAACTCTGGAAAGAACATGGCCCTCTAATATGGAACAAAAGAAGTCTCAAATAGTAACATTCAGCATTAGTTGGGTGAACTGTATAGACGCGGCCAAGAACATCACTTTTCCGCACACCAGGAAATCCTTCTACAGGAGTACCCTGCTTTCTGCCTAAAAATTTATTGTTGGTCCAGGTATAGAAAGAAGGAACTTCACAGTATAATAGTGTCCTAGCAAATGTGTCTTGGTTACAAAGCTTAAAAAATGCTGTCAGAGTTGTATCTCTTGGATTTGAAATAACATTTTCTGCATTTGCAGTAGTGAAATAGACCCTCTGTCCATTTTCAAGGTGAGCACCTAAGTGTACAATAGGAGGTGATCTTTCATGGATGCTGAAACCCAGAAACCTCCAAACAGCTTCTGCGGAACTTATATAGCGGCCAGACTGAAATTGGGTAACCTCATCAAGGTGATTCAAAGAGAAAACTGCCTGATCAGTTCCCTTATTAATGTATTTGCACATGTATTTGATGGCCTTTACGGAGCTGCAGTATTCCAAATTTATATGGGAATCAAAAGCACGAAGGAGAACAGAATTATAGGGCACAATCCAGCGATTGTCAATTTCAAAAGTAACTCCTCGCATATTCACCGATGAAGTAAGACCACCTTCAGCAGAGCGCCGTCTTCGTTATCGGGGATAACTATCTTCTGTTGTCGAAGTTGTCTCATAAAAACCTTTAGGATATTTTTTGCTACATTTCCCATCCTTCATACATGGAGAATTTGTATTCAGAACCCCACATGGACCATGAACCATTTGTTTCATGACAATTGCATGAAGCTCTGGGTCTAAGTTAATATCCGGAATCTCGGCTTGTATGACCTCATCAATTTGATTAGGTCTAATTATGTTTGTAAGCCAAAGCAGTAAATGCGCATGTGGTAGACCACGCTTCTGCCACTCTATTGTGAACATAAAACACTTGCAAGGCCCAAATAGCTCAGCCTTAGTTACTAAATAGATAAGCTTTTTCATTTTAAGGTGAAAAACACGACTAATCAAATCATATCTATCTTTAGCAGAGTTATTTGAAAATAAATGCATCTGAATTTCTTTCCATTGAGGGTTGCATGTAAATGTTATAAAAAGCTGAGGCCTTCCATAGCTACGAACATAAGTCATTGCATCTTGGGTAAGCTCATGCAGATAACGGGGACCACCAGTAAATGATGATGGCAGTATGACTATTTGGCCTATATTGGCTAAATTCTCATCTGCTCGCAGAGCATCTTGCAGGTGAATATAATTTTCTGTCCGAAGCTTTTTCTGATTGCGCCGTATGAAGGAAAGCCTTTCTGATTCAACCTTAGCATACATATCAACCCAGAATTGATTTGTAAGCATGCCATAACGCAGTAGTGAGTTAAATTCCCCAGCACGAGTCATCATTCTGTAAGCATAAAAATTCATGCACGATACAGTCTTCTGCATTATTTCTCTAGTGGATGGATTGACTTGAGGTAGCGAAACAGAATAACCGACCTCACCCCTGCAAAAAATTAACGGGTATTGTAGAGGGTCATATGCTTGATGGATCTCGGATATTCTTTGTGTCAAATTATTACGACAATGTAATTCAATATCTCTCGGCCCAAATTCCTGACCAACCATCAGCAGAGCTATTTCATTGGTCATGGGCGCATTGTAGCGACGCTCATGCTCTTCTGGTGGAAGCTTATCAGAGTGTATAATAACCCGGTAGTCAGCGTGATTTTGAGGAAGAGTTTCTAAGGCTGCTTTAAAGGATTGAATATAATGATTGTGCGCATGCAATAAATCTTGCAAAGAGCGAACTAAATCTCTGTTCAAGTTTGCTGTCATGTTGCAACGTGCAGTAACCTGAGACTCATAATTATCGATAAAGTATATCAGCAGGAATTTGTGCTCACTATCAGGTTCTGGAAGGAGACTACCAATTACGTGGTAAACTTGGCCTTGGACTTTGAAAGTAGGCATATAACCTTGCTCCACAACTTGTCTAGCACCAAAAGATGTCATTTGGAATATAGAGTTATATCTACGGATATGCAGCAAGAAGGACTTCGATAGAGGATGTAGGCCAGAGAGCAAAGAGAAAATAGGTTCTGGAGGGGACTCAATAGCAGGTAGAGAAACTCTACCTTGTTTACAACAGAGGCCAAAGGGTTCATCTCTAAATCTCAAAGCAGAGCAAAACTGGCATACCCGAGACATTTGGCCTATATCGACAGATGAATCAGCTTTATAATCAATATGGGCATTATACTGCAAACCTGAAAATGGCTTATGAGTCCAAAGCTGAATACGCTGAACAGGAACTTGCATAGTTTGTGTAGCTGCGACGCGGGCTTCAGAATACCTAAGACGGCGAAGCGCACGACGCGTCTCACTTTGAAGTGGTGTCTGAATAGCTCTAGCATTCCGTAATCTCCTGGAAGCAGCCGTATTCCTACCAATTAAAGGTCGGCTGCGGCGAGGCATATTCTGAAAAAAAAAAGATTGAGATTAATAACAAAAGCTTAAAAACCAGCAATTTATAAACAAAGCACAAAAATTTCCTGTCTTTTTGAGGTAAAAATCAAAATTCTTAATTTTTTTCTTCAAAATAACCTCCAGATATGTTAAAAAGATTTTAAAAAACTAAAAGCATAATATTAATACTAAAGAATTAATGTACAAAACCAGCTATCATTAAAAAGCCTCAAAAATAGACCAACCGCTGGACACGGCAATGAAAACGCATGCTTTTTTGAGGTAAAAAATAGAAATAATTTTCTAAAATACAAAATACAACCCCTATATGTTAAAAAAACTATAAATAATCTAAATATAAAATACTTAATCAAATAAATTGAATTTTGCAAAAGGACCTCAAAAAAAAACAAATAAATGAATCCGTTAAAGAAATCCCTTGCTTATTTTAAAATATAAATATCCTATTTTTTAGATACAACCCATATATGTAGAAAATATAATAAATAAACTGTATTTAAAATAAAAAAGCAATAATTAAAAAATTTCATAAGAAAATTTTAAAAAGGACTTCAAAATGACCCATAATTGAACATACCAATAAAATATCTTGCATCTTAGTGAAAAAAAAAGAAGAAATAATCCAAAATTTGTTTACAAAACAACCCATATATGCTGAAAACACCATAAATAATCTACTTCTAAAATATCTAAGCAATTAATTAAAATGCAATTTCAAGCTTTTTAGTGAAAAAAAAAAGAAAAATAACCCAATTTTTTTTACAAAACAACCCATATAAGTGGAAAACACCATAAATAATCTGTAACTAAAATATCTAAACAATTAATTAATGTTAAGGTCCTCAAAAAAAGACATAAAATTGAGCACATGAATGAAATTTCTAGCTTTTTAGTGAAAAAAAGAGGTCCTCAAAAAAGACATAAAATCGAGCACATGAATGAAATTTCTAGCTTTTTAGTGAAAAAAATAGAAATAACCCTAAATTCGTAAAAAATAATATAAATTACCTTAGTCTTATAAAAATACTAACCACGTAATAAAATAAAAAATAAACTTGATCTCATCAAGTAAGGCTTCAACTTTTTTCGGTATAAAATATGAAAACTATAAAATAAAAGTATCTTACCATGTATAAAAGTTATTATTAAAATTAAAAAATATATATATAAAAAAGATTAGAACTAATTTAGCAAGAAGCGGAAAGTAAACACTTTTGAAAGTGTAAATACTTTTACTCTGTTGAATTTTTTTTTTATTTTATCGATAACAGCAAAGTTATGTATTTTAAAGTTAGGAAAAATATTTTGATGTTAAGCAAAACCTGCTCCATCTCGTTTTAAATAAATGTTGAAAATTTGGTCGAAATTGATGCATTGTAACGAAAGTTTTTAGCGAACACCACTTATGAAATTTGCATTTTATTAATATAGATTTACAGAAGGGATTATATTAATAAAAAATAAATTGTTTTAACACATTTGATGAATTTATAAAAGAATAGATGCCTTTTGCTCATATATATTCAAAAATTGAGATTTATATGCAAAAAGGAAACATCAACCGTTTAAAATACCCAATATTGGACTTTCTTGATATTATTTAAGCCTCCCACACATATTCGGTAAAATGAATATGCCACAATACCAGCTTTTTACAGAAATCATAATATGTTAGATTTGCACATAGAAAATAGAGAACAAGGATTGTTTTTAATGAATATCAAAAGGTAGATATACCCCATCCAGAAAATGATAATTTTTTGTCTTGAAAAAATTACCATATATGATGATTTACCTACTTTACTCATTATTGTTGACTCTATTTATTTCATTGAAGTTAAATGCATTTTTGTTTCAGTAATTCAGCAAAAAATAATTGTGATAGAGTCGCCTTTTTTCTTTTTTAAATATACAAGGTGCGTTCATTAATTTCCAGGACTGCTCTGTATCTTTGAAAAAATAAAACAAATAAAAAAACTAATTCAATATTTTTCAAAATATGCCCCTCCTGCCTCAATACACCCGTTCCATCTTTTTTTCCAATTGTCGAAGCAGGAGATAAAATCACTTTTTGAGAGGTTCCTCAAGGTTGCCTTCGATTCAGCTTGTATCATATCAACGTTGTCAAATTTCCGTCCTTTCAAGTTAATTTTCAATTTAGGATAGAGGAAAAAGTCATTGGGGGCTAAGTCGGGGGAATAGGGTGGATGAGGGATCTGTATGGTTGAATGCTTGGCCAAAAACTGCAAAACAACATGGGCTGTGTGCGGCCGCGCATTACCGACGTGAAGTATCTAGTCATTGTTTTGCCATCTTTCAGGTCTTTTAAGGCGCACTGCCTCCCTTAAGCACCTCATTATCCCCAAATAAACAGATAGTCCAGTCACTGAAGATAATTCTTCTGTTAGATTTAATTAACTCCTTTATTTTGAGCTTGTTTTCCTCGCAACGAAATGATCTTGGACGCCCAGTATGCTGATCATCGTTTACCTTTTCCCGACCTTTTTGGAAGCGTGAAAATTATTCAAAAGTTCTTGAACGGGATAAAGCTGCATCGCCAAAAGCTTCTTTAATCGATTCATACGTCTCAGTATCACTTTTTTTTTTCAATTTAAAACAAAACTTAATGCAGATTCTCTGCTCTTCGAAATGGCCATTTTAAAATTAGAAATGCGAACCTTACAAGGAAGTTGTTTTGTTCTATTTTTAGATCGGCGCGTGCGCCACGAGACTCGTGCTTTCAGTCAGGTGTGGTCGAATGTCCAATATTCAACTCTGTAAAAAATATTTTCTCTAGCTTTTTTATTTATTTTATTTTTTAACCAGTCCTGGAAATTAATGAACGCACCTTGTATATTCATGACTTCCCCTCACTATCTTTACTATGTGTTATGTGTATAATAGATGCTAAGTTATCTCTACTTGATAAATGTAGTATGAATATCATTTTATTATAGATATTAACAGTCTAATACTGAGCCCAATTTTATAACTTTACTTATTTATCCTGTCTGTGGATTTTGAGAACATTTTCATTTTTTCTTTTTTTTATTGACAAAATCAATTAATATAAGCCTATCATTCATTACCATATATCACAAAATCATAAATTAAAATTATGTAAATTTTGCCGAATTTTCTTCCGAAAATGTTTTGAAATTATTAATTGTATATTATACAATTGCAATATACATTAAACGATACTGAATTTGCAACATCAACTAGTGTGCAGAAAGGTTTGAAAATCTGCATAAAGAGAGTACCAATATTAAACAATAAATTATCTTTATTAGAAAAAAAAACACCTATACACTGAGCGGCATCGCTGTCCTCTCAATATGTTGAAGGACCACCGCAGGTGTCTATGCAGGCAGCAACACGTTTTGGTACCGACTATAGAGCATGCTCATGTTCCGATAATTCATTAAAAAAAAGTGTCCCTTCAATACCTGTTATAATATTATCATAATATGAAGAAATAAGAACATATCAAATAAGATATGATAAGTATCAAAAAGAAGTGTAAGATAGCTGATATAAGAATACAACCTATCACGAAAGCAAAAAAGTTGACCCGCTATCTGAGACTCAGCACCTGGACTGGATTCTATATAAGTAGAGCGGAGGCAAATGTCAACTATCATCTGTATCAGGTAAGTTCATCAATTGAATAGTCGTACAGGACATAGCACCTATGTTCTGACATCATTTTAAAAAATGATCTCTTTTGCATTATCTGAATTGCCTTAACTATTATTTTCACAATCTTATTATTATTTTAACATAAGACATTTATACTTGCACTTTTATTTATCCCATTTTATTTTTTTGAGGATAACACAATTACCTTTTAGTAATAGGTAAAACCATTAACGATTGTATAGAATCATAAAGTGATTATATAATAATAATCACTATAAAAATAAAGGTCAACTCTCCATTCAAAATAGACGCCAGAACTTGAAGCAATCGTTGATTTATATTTTGCAGGAGAAGTGATTTTTTTATAGATCAATATTCTCCCTGAAAAATATATAAATATTGTAGCGTAGAAATCAAGTCTTAGTATATCTGGAGATGTGAAAGTATTTATTGATGGCGTCAGTACGACTAGTCGTCAATTATCAACAAATTAACCCCCACTATTTACAGCTAGAGAATATCGAGCAAGCAAGCTAGGCAACTAAATGATGATTTAGCAAATGTAAAATTTTAAATCTGATTCAAATATTTCCGTTGAATAATTAAATTAAATATAAATTGTTTCTTCTCCACAATATATTTCCATCTGATCTAATAATTATTTTAAAATAAATTTAAATAAATTTTGTTTGATTTTTATTCCATTAGATGGCGCTTTGCCATATAAAAATGCCAAAGTAAGCGGTCAGGATAGGCTTTTAAAAATAGAACAACCTGACCTTTTCCTTTTTTTATTTTTCACATGAATATATCTATTAGCATATTTTCAAAGTGAAACATTCGTTATAAAAATGATTTATTATTAATGAATGTATTGGAATATATTTTTTTTGTTTCAATTCAATGTTATACATTCTCACTATACATATACTCTATAGAACAAACATCATTATTCATAATACATGCTTGTAGAGAATGTAAGAATTATTTTATTTATATACCAAATCGACTGAAGGTTCCTCTGTTATACAGGCGTGTTCAAGGATGAAGTTGGCCATTCTACTGACAATCGCGGTGACCCTCGTGGCCGCCAGCACCCACCACGGTGGTGACTGGACCCAGCTCGCTCGATTCACCAACCGCCTGGCCTTCCAGCTTCACCCCTACTATGGTGGTCATGATGACAACACTGTCTACTCCCCGCTGGCCATCTCCACCTCGCTGGCCATGATCTATGCTGGGGCTCGCGGCCAAACTGCCCAGGACTTCTCGAAGACCTTTGGGTATGATGGTTTCGACAACGTGCACCAGTATTACAAGGATTACTACCAGCAGCACAATGACTACACCTGGGCCTATGGAATCTATGTCCATGAAGATTACTCCATTCAGGACTCCTACCAACATCTAATCCAGAGCTACTACCAGACTCCCGTGCACCATGTTGACTTTAATAATAACGAAGAGGTCAGGCGCGAGATCAACGAATATGTGAAGTCCGAGTCCAACGGCAAGTTCCCTGAGTACCTGGAGCAGGAGCTGGAACCCCAGACCCGCCTGTACTACCTGAGTGCTGCTTACTATGGAGGTAGTCTGAAGTACCACACTGGAAAGTCCTTCACTGGCCAGTTCCACAGCTATGGTGACCATGAGAGCCAGGTGCCCTTCTGGACCTTGAGAGGTCCCATGGACTACTACTACTCCCAAGAGTACAGAGCAGTTCGCATCCCCTTCCACGACAATGATGAGTCAGTCTGTTGGTAGTTGTCCCAGAGCACCACAGCAGTCTGGACCAGATCAGAGAGCACTTCTCCTACAAGGAGTACAACCACATCTGGTCTCAGATGCAGCACACTGACGTGGAGGTTCACCTTCCCCACTTCAGTCTAGACTACTACCAGCCTCTGTCTGATGTCTTCAAGTCTGCTGGCTACCACTATATGTTTGAGGAGGGAGCAGACTTCTCTGGACTCTCCTCTGGGGATCTGTACGTGTCCCAAGTGGGTCACCGGGCCTACTTCGAGCTGGAGGATCCCAGCAGCTATGACTACGACCACCATCACCACCACCACCATGGCCACCATGAACATCACGCTACGGTGAAAGTGGACCATCCTTTCCTGTTCTACGTGCTGGACCACCATACTGGATTGATCCACTACTCTGGCTACTTCAGCCATTTCTAATATATCTCACCTACAAATCTAATAAATTATAGTTTTGCCATTTAAATTTGGGTTGGATGTCATTCTTGAATGCAAATATATTTCACGCATATTTATATGTATATACATACTTAAAAACTCTATTCATACTGCACTATGCCTAGCCATTTTACAAAAGGCTGTGTGATACACGACGACATTCCTAAGTCAACTAATCATCAGGCATTTGTTTGAAATTTCGATTTTTTCAAAAATGCATTTGTCTTCAAACGTTTTACTATTCTATTAACAATGTTACCTATATCAAAATACGCTATCCTTTTACGTCCAAATTTTTTTATGGATGGCTACCTATAGTTCTCTAGTAGAATATAAATCAATCGAACGATTTTCAAATCTTTACACAATTCGAAAATCTCTCTACCCATTTCCGTATAACAACCCCTCAGATTTATAAGATAGCTCAGCCTTATTTATATTGATTAAACATAGAAATACGGTCTAAAATTTAGCATGGTGTTATCTTAAGGCAGAAAGCAAAGGCGTGAATGTCTTTTCATAAACTCAACCAAGGAATCAGAAAAATATCAGCAGAAATACACCTGAAGACAATTTTACCATCGTTTATTTTGCAATGCTAATATTGAAGCAAAAACGATATGATCTTGTCATATACATTTCTAAGTATGACATAAAAAAGAAAGAAAAAATCATCAATTTCGAGCTAAAAGAAAATCAAATCATATTATATAATACAGGATTATTGGATAATCAGAAATCATTGTAAGAATTATCTTAGGAGCTAACAACGGCCAGATCAATACCACTGTTGGAATGCGATAAGGACGCTAAAATAAAGCCATATATGGCATGTTTTCCCCAGAGAAGTCAGAGTGCAATAGAATCCATTTGCTGATATTGACTTTAAAAAGTTTAAGACAAGAAATAAAATTCCAACTTCCAATATACAACCAAATAATTATAGTTCGTCATATGAAATTGGGGTTTATTCGAATTTTTATATTCAATTCTCGATTTACATTCAGATTTTGAGTTACTCAGGTATATTATATAACATTCCTAGAGGAGAATACAAGGTATGATAAAAAAATATACCGCATTAAGGCTATTACTTTATTTATATAAAACACACAAAAAAAGTATTATTTATAAGACCTTACTGCATCACAATGCACTTTTGCCATCTTCCAACTTTGGAAGCACTTTGAAAATACATCTACCTGTATGCCTTGCAGAACCTTTAGCGATTTCTCTTTTATGGCTTGTTTCGTTTCAATACATTGACCTTTAAGAAGTGTAATCTTCAATTTTGAATAAAGATAAAATCACTCAGTGCTAAATCAGGAGAATAGGGTGAGTGTGAAAACACAGGGGGTTTATTTTTGTAAAATAAGCGAGAACTACATGAACCATATTTGGACATATGTTATCAAGATAAGGCCTCCAATCATCATTCTGCCATCTTTCAGGGCGTTCCTCTCGAACAGTCTCCCAAAACTATTGAAAAATAGTAAGATTCTTTGTTATTTGTCGTCTCAATTCGTATGAATTCATGATATACGAATTCTTTGAATAATAAAGGTTGGTGGATTCATCATGGTAATGCATAGCCAAATGTGGCTCATTATGTCCTCGCCTATTTCACCAAAATAACCCCCTTGTGTTTTACACCCTCTCCCTATTCTCCTGATTCAATACCAAAAGACCTTTTTGAGTTTAAACATAAAAATTCCGATTGAAGGCTACTGTTTGCACAATACAAACGATTAGAGAAAAATTACTTAACATTTTTGCAAGGCATACAGAAAGACGAATTTTTTAAGTGTTTCCAAAGTTGGCAGAAAAAATGGCAAAGGTGCATTAATGCAGAAGGGTCTTATTTTGAAAACTTTTATTATTTTTTGTATTTTGTGAATAAATAAAGTTATAGCCTCAGTGTAAGAATCTTTTAAACATATCCCGTAGTTATAGAGATAATGAAGTTAGAAAACCCCATGTTTTAAGATATCTAGATAGAATTCAAAATATTTTCTATTTCATGACTGAAATGTATTAATTTACAAGCGGATGTACCCGGCTTCGCCCGGATTTTACTCGAGTGAAAGTTAACCTAACGAATATTTGATAAGAAATATTTTCCGAGCAAATATCCTCTCTCTGCTGATTCGAATTTTATGAAGACATTATATATATATCTTTATATTTTTATAAAATTGATTTAGTAGAGTGGATATTTGCTGATGCTTTTTTTTGTATTTTATAAAGATATATGTAAATA